CATTGCGCACGGTCACAAAAATTCTGAAAGAAAAATTTTATTATAGGGAAAGAGATAGAATGTTTGATTAGTAAATACTGCTTTTATTAATTAATAAATTATTAACTCATCGTTATTTATTTATTACACACAAAGAATTATCATATTGATTTATGAAATATTTATGAAATATTTAATTAATACATTTAAATTATTACGCACTGTAAAATATTTCACAATATTAAATATTCAAATACTTATGAATATTTTGTAACATAAATGATTTGTAAAAATTATACTCTGAATGTCCACCATTAAGATTAAACATACTAACATAATTTGATTTGTCCGCCATATTTGATTTGTTTGAAATATTTGATTTCAAACAAATCAAATATGGCGCACTTTTATTGCCTGCGCAGTATTCAAACGACGCGATGCGCAGAATCGAATCGTCAGCGTTCCTTTCCGAAAATTATTTGTTAAGAATGTATATGAATTGAATATCAAATAAATACTGTCAATTACTCAATAAAATAAGAAAATGAATGTATAAATATGTCCACCTTCATTGAAATAAGTGTCAGATGTTATCATAATTGCGTGGATTCATCGTTCATCATCGTGGAGTCCCTCTATTGTTCCACTTTCTTCCGCAATCACCATTTATCTGTGCAAAAGAAAATCAAAACCATCAAATAAATGTATAAAACTAAGGAATTATATAAGAATTGAACAATGATCAAGATCAAATGCCGTTTTGGAAGCTCACAATATGAACTACGAGTAAGTGTGACGATCTAAGAACACAATCAAAAAAAGAGATAATTTAAGTATAAATTGTAGTATTCGATCAACTACTGATTTAAAACATACGTTAATTAAACGGAATCAGTAGTAGAGTGGATAAATGATGGAAAGACAACTATGAACGATGTATTACACAGTAAATAATGACGTCATACAAGCCAATACGTCTAAACACTACGAACTTCTGTTGTACAATAACACCCCGCGCCAAGAATACATCAAAGATAGTTACGTGGCGGTGGGGGGACATGACGGTGCTCAACCAGAATTTGTAAAAGATGTTTTCAATTTCGGCAGTAAATATATCACACATCATAATGAATATCTACATATACGCTTATTTAATTTAATAAAGTAGAATTGATTGATTAATTATACAAAAATAACGTCTCTCTTGTACTTCATTGTGTTGATACACAAATAGAGATTTGAAACAAATCAAATATGGCGCACTTTTATTGTCTGCGCAGTAATGAAATGACGCAATGCGCAGAATTAAAATATGCAATTGTAATTGTATTGTATTTCCTTATATTTTATTTTTTTAAAGAAATATATTTCTTAACCTATTTAATTTTTATTAATTTAATATATTTTGTAATCAAAATATATTTATTGAACAAAATGATTTAAATGATTTTATAATATTTTATGTTAGGCATATATCAGAATTCTGTTGTCTGATGTCTCAAGTAAAAAAATTTGAAATATGAAAAAAATGTGAAACAAAATGTGAAATAAAATATTATGTAGTTTTTTCTTACATAAAAATTTTTCTAATTGTAAATATAAACTTTTGTTATTTTATTTTAAACTTCGATGTCTTAATATTATGAAGCAATTGAAATATAAACAATTATTAGAAAGAATTAATTCAAACAAAATTTAACTTTATTACATTAAATAAAAATTTATTTACATGTGTAATATTTATTTGTAAAAATGATTTTTTACATTTTTATGTAATTATTTAGAAAAAAAAAAATTCTAGTTATCGACAGCATTTTTAATTATAAAAGAATTGTGAAGTTGGCATCAGAGGGATCATATCTAGGAATATTTCGATAATTTATTTTGGTAATATTAGTTGACGATCAACTCTTATGAGTGTGCGCTGTAGCTTTATTCGTTCGGCGACAATGGCGGCAGACCTTGATCAGTTTCAACAGCTTTTAAACACACTCCTTAGTACGGATAATGATGCCAGGACGCAAGCAGAGGTGCGTATATCTCTTCTAATTTTGACGCACGTATTTTGTATGTATTAATTTGCCAATAAATGTGAATATTGTAAAACGGGATACTCTGTTTCCTGAACACGTTGCCAACGTGTTGTCAGAATCTGCATGTGGGTATCGTTTGACGGTCATTGTTATTAAATTACAGTTTCACTTTCTGTCTTATTATGGAATATTTCTATGTAATATTGATACAAGTAGTTTCATGATTGATGCGATTAATAACTGTAATGAATACTGACAAGTGTTTAGAACAATCTAATAAAATCCAAAATGGTGTCGCGCGGTAGCATGTACCTCTCCAACCTTTTACATAGGTCCATGTTACTTTCAGCGCGAGACGAATGTACATATTGTCCATTTTTTACAATTTTTTTTATATTACTTACATGATTTTATTATGATAACTAAAGAATAAAACAGTCTAAGTTCGCGTTAAATAACCAGAAATATATAGTTACTTAGCATGATTTATAATTTCTATATTTCGCTTTCCCGCCTACACATAATCGTTTTCAATTGGGTTTTCGGCATTTCTGTACTTGAATCATGAAAAAAATATCCTCGTTCAGATATATGTCTTCAATATTTTATGCATTTATAGTTACATTGTTATAATTATTAATGATAAATATTTTTAATTTTTTTATTTTTGCAACGTTTGAGTAACATTACTAATAAAACATGCCATTGTCAGATACCATGTGTTTTTTTTTCTACTTTTGTTTCTTGGTAATTGTTAAAATTATAGGCTCATTTAAGTAACAATATTTTCTATTTAAGTAATATAATGTTTTACAAAATTGAATTATAAACGCGGCAATAATTATTACGCTTATCAATTTTATTAATGTGATAAGATATTTTTTCTGTTTGAAACAGAAAAAATTTATTTCTGATAAATTAGATTATATAATATGTGTGTGTGTATCTGCCTATACATTATATATATATATATATATTTATTTATTTATTTATTTAATATTATAGGAGGCATACAACAATCTCCCAGTGGATAGCAAGGTGACATTTCTTTTAACATCATTGTGCAATGCAGCCCTTACAGAAGAAATGCGTGCTATGTCTGCCGTTTTGTTACGTCGTCTCTTTTCTTCTGAGTTTATGGATTTCTATCCTAAAGTAATTATATCTTAATTATATTGATTTTAAATCACTTTGTAACAATTGTAACAATAGAAGATTTTAAAACATTTAAGACAAGATTGTTATTTGTAGTAAAAATAATTTTTTTATATTTTTATAAAGATAAAAGATATTGTTCTGTTCTTAATGCTGATATATATAGCAAATTACAGACTAAAATAATTTCTAATCATATAATACTTTCTGCACTTTATGCCAACAACTACTGCCAATAATGAAATGACCTATTGTATGTGACGAACTATAAACCCACGTTACTTATTAAATCGATCTTTACATGATATATAAATATGATGTAGTGTCAAATATTGAACAAAATATATTAATAATTTTTAGTAAAATTTTTGAAATATTATTAAATGTATTTGTATGTAAAATTTAAAATGTATGATTCAAATAGAATGATATTATTTTAAAATATTTCATAGCTGCAAAGTCTCTAATTTTCATAAATGGAAATATTGAATTTCTATTTGAATCTTATAGATTTTACCTATATTTGTTTAAAAAAATATTCCAACTTTTATTGAAATTGCAGCTAGTTTCATTGAAGAATCAAAGTATACAATACAAATAAAAAATATATGTATATTTTTTTTCATAAATAATTATATTCTTTGGCATAAATCAAATATAAAACATTAAATAAAAAATGATTTGTAATTAATTAATCATTACTATTATTAAAATATGTATTATTATAGTACTACAATTACTATAATAGGTATCAAAAATATTTCAATGAAATGCTTTGATAAATTATACACATGCTTTCCATAATATATATGATATATACGTAAAATTTTTATATATATCTGAAAATATTGTTATATAAGTACATTTTTGTGTAGATTCCACCAGAAGCACAAGCTCAATTAAAAGAACAAATTTTACTATCTGTTCAAAATGAACAGACAGAAACTATTCGACGTAAAGTTTGTGAAGTCGCAGCTGAAGTTGCACGAAATTTAATTGACGAAGATGGTAATAATCAGTGGCCAGAATTTCTGCAGTTCCTATTCCAGTGTGCAAATAGTCCTGTACCGGCATTGAAAGAAAATGCTCTTCGAATGTTCACGTAAGTTTACCATGTTTATGTTAAAAATAATATAATTTTAAATTATAATTTATATAATATAAATCATGCTTTTACATATTTCAAATATATAGATCCGTCCCAGGTGTATTTGGAAATCAACAAACTAATTACCTCGATCTTATTAAACAAATGTTACAACAATCTGTCATGGATTCTGCAAATTATGAGGTAATGTAATACATTTTTGTATGTGAATGTAAATTTATTTCATATTTTTAACATCTCATATGGAAGAATGATACACGTGATGCAAATAATTAAGCTTCTCGTCACAATTTCTTCCTATAAAAAAATTGCCTTCTGATGACTGTAACTTGTGAAGTTTTAATTTACAGACAGATACGGGGCATACAAGCATTCATTAAAATTTTACTTATTTTTAGGTCAGATTTCAAGCAGTAAGAGCAATCGGAGCCTTTATCATTTTGCATGATAAGGAAGAAAATATACAAAAACATTTCTCGGAGCTACTACCAGCAATTATACAAGTAATTGCTCAATCAGTAGAAAAACAAGGAGATGATGCTCTTTTAAAAGTTCTAATCGATTTAGCAGAATCTACACCGAAATTTTTGAGATTACAATTAGAAACTATAATGGAAATGTGTATGAAAATATTTTCAAATGAAGATATGGCTGATTCGTGGAGACAATTAGCACTGGAAGTATTAGTTACACTAGCAGAAACTGCTCCTGCAATGGTACGTAAAGTTGGTGGAAAATATATTGCATCTCTAGTACCATTGGTGCTAAAAATGATGACAGATATAGAAGAGGACGAAAAATGGAGTTTTTCCGATGAAATTGTTGACGATGATAATGACAGTAATAATGTTGTTGCTGAAAGTGCTTTAGACAGATTAGCATGTGGTTTAGGTGGTAAAACTATGTTACCACAAATTGTACAGAATATTGCATCAATGTTACATAACAGTGACTGGAAATACAGGTATATACTTTTAAAGTATTTTTATTCAACTTCACTGTACTTGTCACAGAAGTGTCAGCAGTTCTATATTTTATTTATATAATTGCGTTACATCTGTGATAGAGTAACCGTCGGGATTATTCTCTCTTTTATCTATCGTTCTGATAGTTAAAAATTTGAGATTCTCGAGGGATGTTCTTACATAAGAGAGTTGATAGTAATATTCCAATATTACTGTCATAGATATGGAACAAACATTTATGTCATAAATCTGTTAAGAGCGATTAATAAAATTGTAGTAATAAACGTTGTAATATAGACATGCCAAAAATTTGTATTATAGACATGCTGCTCTTATGGCAATATCAGCTGTTGGTGAAGGTTGCCATAAACAAATGGAAGCAATATTACCTCAAATCATGGATGGAGTTATACAATTTTTACAAGATCCTGTAAGTTTACAGTAAATTCTTTTTAAACATTATGAATCGAATTAATAATTATACAATTATAAATATAATAGCATTAATAGAATTAATAATTATACAATTATAAATATAATATAATACATTTATGATACAATACAACAAAAAATTTAATATTTGTACATTCGTTCTAATATGTTTATTAAAATATCCTTTTCAAAATTCCTTAGAGAGAGAGAGAGAGAGAGAGAGAGAGAGAGATAGTTATTGATTATTATAAATATGTATCTATATTTTTTATTCAGACATATTCTTGCATGCAATTATTCTTTTTTGTTTATTGTATATTTTTTTCAGCATCCTCGTGTAAGATACGCAGCTTGTAACGCAGTAGGTCAAATGTCAACTGATTTTGCACCTATATTTGAAAAAAAATTCCATGATAAAGTTATTCCTGGATTATTAATGGTTTTGGATGATAATGCAAATCCAAGAGTACAAGCTCATGCCGGTGCAGCTCTCGTAAACTTCAGTGAAGATTGCCCAAAAAATATATTAACACCATATTTAGATGCTATTATGGCTAAATTGGAATCGATTCTTACTGCTAAATTTCAAGAACTGGTTGAGAAAGGCACCAAACTTGTCCTTGAACAAGTAAGTATATTAATTAGTCAAATGGTACATATATAATTAATAATAATTATTATTTTATTTTGTAGGTAGTTACAACTATTGCATCTGTTGCTGATACATGTGAAGAACAGTTTGTAACATACTACGACAGGTTAATGCCATGTCTAAAGTACATTATTCAAAATGCTAATCAGCAAGAACATAAAATGTTACGTGGTAAAACCATTGAATGTGTAAGTCTTATAGGACTTGCAGTAGGACCTGAAAAGGTATGATTAACATATACTATTATATTTAATGAGAAATTACAGTAATATTTTAATTCTTTTTAAATAAAAATGTTATATAATTAAACTTTTTATGGTTATATAGTTTATTGCAGATGCAAGTGAAGTTATGGATATGTTACTAAAAACTCATTCAGAAGGAGATCTTCCAGATGATGATCCACAAACTAGTTACTTAATATCTGCGTGGGCTCGAATTTGCAAAATTCTTGGTATGAAATTTAGACTTTTAAATAAAATTTTACTAAAATTTTGATTTCAATATATTTAATAATTAATTTTATAATTAATTATTATTAATTTATAAATAATTAATTTAATAATTAATTTAATAATTAAATTTTACTAAAATTTTGATTTCAATATATTTAATAATTAATTTCTATAGGTAAACAATTTGAACAATATTTACCATTGGTAATGGGTCCAGTCTTACGTACAGCAGCTATGAAACCTGAAGTGGCTGTACTAGATAACGAAGACATGGAAGGTATAGAAGATGTTGATTGGGAATTTATCTCCCTTGGTGAACAACAAAATTTCGGAATAAAAACTGCTGGCTTAGAAGACAAAGCCTCTGCCTGTGAAATGCTAGTTTGCTATGCACGTGAATTGAAAGAAGGTTTTGCAGATTATGCAGAAGAAGTAGTACGGCTAATGGTTCCTATGTTGAAATTTTATTTTCATGATGGCGTTCGAACAGCAGCTGCTGCAAGTTTACCATATCTTCTTGATTGTGCAAAAATAAAAGGTTAATAATTATTCAGATTTTATTCATTAATAGTTTTTTAATATTATAATTATGAATAATGACTAAATTGCAGGTCCACAATACCTTGAAGGAATGTGGGCTTATATTTGTCCTGATCTCTTAAAAGCAATTGATACGGAACCTGAATCTGAAGTTCTGCTGGAGTTATTATATTCATTAGCTAAATGTATTGAAACTCTTGGTGCCGGTTGTTTGGGAGCACAACCTATGGCTGAATTATTACGTATATTAGATAAATTGCTTAATAAACATTTTGAAAGAGCAGTGGCTAGATTAGAAAAACGTAAAGATGAAGATTATGATGAGGTAAGGCAGATTTAATATAAAATTTAAATGTTAGTGTCAGTAGTTTAGAATTTATGATCAAATTGTAGGTTGTTGAAGAGCAACTTGCTGATGAAGATAATGAAGATGTATATACCCTAAGCAAAATAGCAGACATTTTACATGCTTTGTTTACTACTCACAAATCTTCGTTCTTCCCTTATTTTGATCAAATCTGTGGTCATTTTGTTAAACTTTTAAGTCCTGAAAGATCTTGGTCAGATCATCAATGGGCTTTGTGTGTTTTCGATGATGTAATAGAATTTGGTGGACCGGAATGTGCAAAATATCAAGAATACTTTTTACGGCCGATGATACAATACGTATCAGATAAATCAGCAGAAGTAAGACAAGCAGCAGCTTATGGTTGTGGCGTTTTAGGACAGTATGGAGGAGAAGCATTTGCACAGGCATGCGCAGAAGCTTTGCCTAGGTTAATGGATGTTATAAATGATCCAGAATCTAGATCACCTGAAAATGTCAATCCCACTGAAAATGCTATATCTGCTGTTACGAAAATTCTTAAATACAATAATAAAGCAATCAATGTTGATGAAATACTTCCACATTGGTAAGATTTTAATTTTTATGTGATAATTTATAAATATTACGAGTAATTAATCAAATATTTTTAATTGCAGGCTCTCTTGGCTACCAGTAGTAGAAGATGAAGATGAAGCACCTTATGTTTATGGATATTTATGTGATTTAATTGAAGCAAATCATGTAGCAGTTTTAGGACCAAATAATGCAAACTTACCTCGGTTAATAAGTTTCTTTGCAGAAGCATTTTATAAAGATGCTGTGCCGACAGATAACCCTGTCATGGGTAGAATTCTTAGTATTGTTAGACAAATACAGGTATAATGCAATACAAAAATATTATATAAAATATATTTTTATTTTACATTTATATTTTAAAGCATAATGATAATTTATTTTTTGTTTCAGAACAACGAATCTATGTTCCAAGCATGCATAAATGCATTAACAGCAGATCAACAACAAGCATTGCATGAGGCACTTCGTGCACAGCCTACTAATTAGCCATTTGCTTTTATCCTCGAATTTTAACATTTGGATATAAAAACAAAAACACACACACAGACATTTGCTTTGTGGAGAAATCACAGATTTTAGGTAGCTACATTATACCTATAAAAATTGCGCCAGCCTAATTATGAGGAGAGATAATTATATGTAACTATTTGATATAATTCGTATATTTGTTGGTTGTATTTCACTAGTAAATACAATAGTCGTCCCATTTTTTACTATTTGGAATTGTTGCAAGTTATATACGGCAAAATTTATGCTTGTCATTACTTGATAAAGTGTGAATTGTTACATATAAATCTAGCAACATAAAATTCAAAATCAGAAGTGAGTTCGTAATGACAAAATTTAAAAAATTCATTGTTTTTATCTACTTCGTAGAAATAATACATAATCAAATAATAAATTTATTCTTAATGTAGTAAAAAGATTAAAGACTATATTTCCCGCCATTGCGAGCCGAACGATGCTATGTATTTTTTTTCATTATTCTTTCTTTCTTTCTTAATGCTTTGTAAATTGCATAGTATTTGTAAACAGTAATTGCAATTTTATTCTTTAAATATTAAAAATATACTTTTGTCATTGCGATCTTTTCGTTCTAATTATCTGCGTTTTAAAACTCGTACTTTTTTTGGCAAAGTAATGAAACTGCGAAAAATAGACTGGAAAAACACCAACTCACTACCATCGAGTGATGGTATAATATATTGTGATTTAGATATTTTTATTATTAAATTTAGGTACAGTAAATGTTATTTAATAATAATATCGATAATATTACAGCGTTGAAGTTAGATGGAACTGTATACGAATGCCTTTTAAATGAAACGTAATGAACTGCTCTAAAATTTTTTGTTGTAATACATTAAATTATTTACTAAATTCTTATTCAATTGACAATATTATAGTAAAAAGTATATATTCTCAGTTTCATGTAAAGTATGCGTAATCTTGTAACTTTACAGCTAGATTTTACATTGATTTGTTTATTTCACAGTTTATTATCACATCATTTAGGAATAAAATAATGACACAGAAATTAAGTCATGTTACTAAAATAAGTTGATGAATGGATGCTGGGCATTACGTTTCTTCCGGTTATTGTATAATGACATGATATGTATTAAGAACAGTGATGTAAAAAAATGACTGAGTGAAGTAACATTACAATTTCCTGTTCTTGTTGCTATTTATTTATATACAATAATTGTCACGATATTTACTATTGCATGCAAATTTGCAATGGAAAATATATCCCAAGTAAAGTCTAATTGCAACAGAATTCCTCCAAAATTTTTTTTATTATGACATATAGGGGAATAGAACTAATGGTCGGACATTTATTTGTATATATATCAAAGTATATAAATATTAAAACTAAGTACGTAAAATTGAATTACATAAATATAATTATTGATGATTGATAGGCACTGCCTTATTAATTATTTCGTGAAGACCAACATGAAGATTTTATGAAATAGATACAAGCAATGTGTGGTTGTAAACATTTCATTAAGAATTACCGAAGAATTGTTCGTGCAACATGTTGTGACAAAAAAAAAAATGTGAAAACAAAGTCGATATGAAAGAAATCAATATAAAATTATAATTCTTATAATTATATAGAGATTATTTTAAAGTTATTATTAATTAAAATAAATCTCAGCTTTTTAATTGATTGTTTTGCTTTACCTTTGAAATCATGTATCGTGTAAGTGATAAAAATGAAATTTTTACAATATGAAAAATAATATTGAAAATAAATCTTAGACCACAATCTTAGACCACGTTATATTTTGTTTTTATTAATAGAAAAAAAAACAAATCAATATTATCCAAATTTTATACATATATAATTTATAGTCTAAATTTACATGAGATTATTATTAATAATATGAAAAATTAAATTAAACTCTAAATATTATATGCACAGATAAAAGCAGTGACAATGTTAATTTATTTTCAATTAAAGGATTTTCATTTAACTAAATAACTTTTTGTTTACACAATGTATTAAAAGTAAATTAAGAAAAAATTTTTTCTTTTTTCTTTTTTTTTTTGTACGAAGTTTCATGTACAAATTTTCTGTAGCATTTAATAATTATTGTGATATATATGTATATGTATATATAGTTTAACGTAAATTTTAAATGTGTTTGATAAATTACTCAGATATAAAGTAATAAGTGTATAAAGTAAATTAGTATAATTACTCAGATATACCAATCGTATATCAAAAAATTACTGAGTAATTTTCCCTTGCGAATTTATCTTAGATTTCTACTATCTTAGATAGTAAAAATCGCAATTTTTTTTTTTTTTGTTATGAATCTACTCTCTCTCTCTCTCTCTCTCTATATATATATAT